TTTTGGTTGTATGTAATGCCACTGTGGAAAAGACCATCTGGCCTTCTTTTGGCTTAAAAATTGAGAAGACCCACCCCAGAAGGGAGCTCCTGATCTCAAAGCTGCCCTCTGACCAGGCTGGGATCAAGGACTGTCTTGTGTTAGTAAATGGAAATATAACCTGTAAACTAAGGTTTGAGGAAGAAAATGATAAAATCCAGGTATTTTAATATTTTGTTTAAATAAGCCTTAGTTAAGAAGCTAGCTAAGTGTTTTGTGGTGGTGAAGTCCTGGGAATCTGTAGTCATCCTTGATAAGAAACATAAAATCAGAAACCAAATTTTTTTTTCAATTTTACTGAGACATAGTTGACATACCTCATTGTATATCTTTAAGGTGCACAGCATGATGGTTTGATTTATATATAATGTGAAATGATTACCGCTATTGGTCCATCTAACACCCATCGTCTCATATAGATACAATACAAACGAAGAAGGAAAAAAAAATCTCCTTGTGATGAAAACTCGTAGGATTTACTTTCTTAATGACTTTCTATATATCCTACTGCAGAGTTATCTGTAGTCCTCATTTTGTATATTACATTCTCAGTACTTATTTATCTTCTTATTGGAAGTTTACATTTTTTTACCATCTTCCTGCAACTCCCCATCCCATCATCCTTCATATCTGGTAACCACAAACCTGATCTCTTTTTCTATGAGTTTATTTTTGTTTTTTTAAAAGATTTCATGTGTTAGTGAAATCATTCAGTATTTGTCTTTCTCTGCCTGACTTATTTCACTTAGGATAATATTATTAATGTCCATCTACATTGTTCTAAAGGGTAAGATTTCCTCATTTAAAAAATGACAATAATATTCCATTAGATATAGATAATATATAATAGATGATAGACAGATATCACAAATTCTTTATCTGCTCATCCATTGATGGATATCTGTTTCCAAATTTAGGCTATTATAAATAATGAACATGAGGGTACAGATATCTTTAGTGTTTTCATTTTCTTGGACATATTCCCAGAAGCAGAATTGCTGGGTTTATTTTTTATTGTTTTATTTGTACTTTTATTTTTAATGTTTTAAGGACCCTTTTCTTTCTATGGTGGCTGTAAAAATTTACAATCCCACTAGCAGTGCACAAGGGGTCCCTTTTCTCCACATCCACACCAGCATTTTATAAATCTTGTCCTTTTGATGATCGCCATTCTTTCGAGCCTGAGGTGCTATCTTACTGTGGTTTTAATTTGCATTTTCTTAATAACTAGTGATTTTCAGCACATTTTCACAGACCTGCTTTTCGTATCTTTTCTTTGGTGAAATATCTATCCAGAGCCTTTCCCCATTTTTGCAATTAGGTTATTTGATTTTTTTGCTATTGAGTAGTAGAAGTTCTTTAAATATTTTAGATATTAACCCCAGATATGACTTACAAATTTTTTTCCAATTCCATAAGTCGTCTATTACTTTGTTGATCATTTCTTCTGCTGTGAAAAAGTTTTTTCAGTTTTTTTAGTCTTTTCGTTTTCCAACATGTTTATTTATTTATTTTTTAAGATTTTTATTTACTTATTTGACAGAGAGAGATTACAAATAGGCAGAGGAGATAGGCAGAGAGAGCAGTTGAGCAGAGAGCCTGATGCAGGGCTGGATCCCAGAACCCTGGGACCATGACCTGAGCTGAAGGCAGAGGTTTTAACACACTGAGCCACCCAGGTGCCCCAACATGTTTATTTTTTATTTGGTTGTTTGTGTTCTTGGTATCATATCCAAAAAATCATTATGAAGACCTACGTCAAATGATTTTATTCCTATTTTTTTTTGCATAGTTTTCATGTCTTACGTTTAACCGTTTAATCCATTTCAAGTCAATTGTTGTGAGTGGTATATAATATGGGTTCAGTTTCATTGTTACATTTGAATATCCAATTATCCCAGCACCATCTATTGAAAAGACTGTCTTTTCTCCATTGTGTATTCTTGGATTCCTTGTTAAATATTAGTTGACCATATAAATGAACCATGTAATTAATCTGAAAGCAGAGTCCCACCTGGTTTCAGGAGAAATGCAATACTAAGCAGCTTAAGGGGAAAGTGTAAACCCCAGATACACAGGATTTCCCAGAATCTGGCATGTTAGATTTCCATAGGGGAACATAGCCCAGGTAAAGATGAGAGCCCATAAAAACCCTTAACACACCACATAAAGAAAGTGGGTCATGATAGAAGGGAGTAAATATAAACATTGAACATTCTGACATTACAAAGTAATTATATTTGAAGTGAGTATAAGATAAAAGAAAGAATAAATATCCTCATGAATAAATTGAGCAGTATATTAGAAATAGGTTGATTTAAAACAAGACCAAGCCAAATTAAAAGAAATAAAAAATGTACTCACTGAAATTGAGACAACATGCCTGGAAGATAGAGCTGAGGAAATCATGTGAATGCAACACAGTACTGAACATATTTTTACCAACATGCAATTAAATGAGCAATAAAACCAAGACAAAACCAGAAATAAATGGAGAGTAGCTCTAAAACTCATGTATGGATATTTAAAACATGCATAAATAATTTATGGATCCACACCATAATGGAATTATAAAGTCTTCAGAAGTAAACAACAAAAAACGCAAATCTTTTGAGCTGCAGCAAAATTTCCTTTGAAAGAAATAGATTGTCTTGTTACAAAAGAAGATTGAAAATGAATGACGTCATACAGGCTTTTCAGTTATGGAATGAGTAAGTCACAGGGATAAAAGGTACAACATAGGAAACATAGTCAATGATGTTGTAATAATGCTGTATGATGAAACATGGTAGCTACACTTGCGATGAGCATAGCATAACGTATAGAGATATCCAATCACTATGTTGTACACCTGAAACCAATATAATATGCTGTGTCAACTATACTTCAATAAATTTTTTAAAAAGTTAAAAAAAGCGACCTCATTGTTCAAGAAAATAGGGGAAAAAACGTAAACTTGAAGAAAGGTGGAAGAAAGAAAAAATGAAAAAAAGAAAATAATTTTCAAAATCCAGAAATAATAAATAGCACTTATAAAATCAAAAGCTAGCTCTGCAAAAGAATTAATAAAGTAGACAGGCTTCTGGCAAGAAAACAAATGGGAGAAACTATAATAATTTATGTAAAACATATGTTTATAAAAGTTTTATATTATATAATGTATATGCAACATACATATTTAGATCTCTGCATGAACATATACATTTATATAAACCTGAGTATAAAATCTTAAGTTAAATATTTACCAACTGAATTTAGGAATGGTGCCAATATGTTACAAAAAAGTTGGCTCTATTCCAGCAACCCTGCATGGCTTAACATTAGAAAAACTTGTTGAAGACATTATATGACCAGATGAAGAGCCATCTCCATATATCTGTAGGACTAGAATGTGCTGATTGAACACCCATCACTTCCGTCATACCCCAGTTGACAACTTACCTGTGTCTCACTCATTTCTAAATTCCTCTGTTGAAAAGATGTAGGAAAAAGGAATGAATTTCATGATATCCTTTGGGGATTTTTTGACAAAGGGAGAACGTGTATTTTAGGACAATCTGCTGGAGGCTCCTAACTCCTGACAGGTCATCTTGCAGGTAGAGAGAGAAAGATGAGAAGCTCTAGGTTCAAGGAGAATATTTAATGTAATGTCCTGTACTGTGTTTTTGGAAATCTATAGAATCTATCTCCCATGATGAGTAGGCCATTGTGCTGTAGGAATAAAAGCCAGTGCTGAGAGAATTTAGAATTCTGTCTGTAGCATTTAGAATGACCTTGTGTCTCATTTGATTGACAGGAAGGGCAGTTTAGATATTGAGTTACTAGAACAGGTCAAACAGAGCATTCTCTTACCTTAAATAACTGTCTCAAAAGGTGCTGCAGCCATCTGGATCACATTAACCATGTACTGATGTCAAAGAAAAGAAATCTTAGAAAATTAAGAATTCAGGTAGAGAAAGTCTAAGTAAACAATAACGAAAGAAAAATTAAAAGAATATGAAGTTAATATCAGAATAGAAGTAAAGTTGTCTATATTCATAGACAATATGATTATCTACCTAGAAATTTCAAGAGAATTATATATGAACAAGTAAGAAGATTTAGAAATCATGTTGGGTTTAAGATTAGTATATAAAGATCAGCTATATTCCTATATTCTAGCAACTATTAATTAGAACATACAATAAATCAAAAGAAAAAAATCACCAAGTGATGGGAATAAATCCAACAAAATGTGGAGAACAGAAAGCTATTGAAAAACAGAAAGTTGTGCTTAAATATATGGAGAGCAATACCATATTCATGATTAGATAATTTAATAATCTTAATTTAAATAATTCATTTTCATTTTAATAAAATACCAACAAATTGATATGTCCACCTTCCTCTATTTTCCTCCCTTTCTCCCTCTCTCTCTTTCCTTCCTTCTTTCCTTCTTTGTTTTCATGGAATTTGGGCAATTCTCAAATCCATGCGAAATAATAGAAGACCAAGAAAAGCCAAGACAATATTGGAGAACATTTGGTAACAATCATCCTGTTTAACAATGTGCATTATAAAGCTATAGATCCTGGTGAAGTAAAATAGAACAAGGCAAAATAAAGGACCCAAAAATAAATCTAGGAATATGAAAGAATGTCATCACACATAAGTGATTGTGGACACATTTTTAATGAGCAGATAACTGACTGGCAATATTGAAGAAAATAAAATCTGATCTTACTTAATGAAAATAAACTCCAGTTCTGTGAAATGTGAAAATATGAAAAATAAAACTTTAGAAGTGTTAGAAGAAAATGTAAGTGAATGCCTTTTATTTCACAGCAAAGAAATATATCTTAACCAAGAGGCAATGATTTAAAAATTTAATCATATTAATATTTAAAATTTCCATAAAATAAAATATACTATATTGGAATTAAAATAGAAGCCTTGAGAGAAAATGCTTGCGTTCCATACAGATAAAATTTTTAAAAAGTTAAGATTAAACTAATGCAATTCATACAGCAGGTGAGATATTAACATCCAGATTAAGAAAGACAGAAACCCTCATAGATAAGTGGCTAAGAGGCATGAACAGGTAAACAAAAAAAGAAAGCCAAATGTGGACATTGAAAATTATGTTTTAGTTTTGATAGTAATTGATAAAACAGGTAGAGCAAAGGGAAAAATGAGAAAGGGAAATGAGGATGATGGGAAAGAAATATTCCAGTAACTACCATTATGAACTAGATTAGTTAGGAGTTGAAGTGAGCCCAGCACAACTGGTTAATGGTTAATTGGAAAAAAAAAAAAATTAAGGAGGTTAGTTGTGTGAGTGAGTAGATGTCGTGGGATGACAGGAGCAGCAGTCTGTGTTTGGCCTGTAGAGAGACAGTGAAGTCTTATGGTTAAAGATTTCAGAGGTTGGGGGACTCATGATAACTAAGCTCAGAGTTTGTCCTTGAGGAAGGGAAGCAGAGGTGAGTGAAGACCTTTGGGTTTGAGAAGGTCAAGTGGTTGTGGATGGAACCACCAAACACTGAGATTGCTAGAACAGGAGATAGGTTAGGCATGAAGAAAGCAGTGCTTAAAATTTTACCATCTTATGTAATCCAAAACAGTTCTGTTATACTGATAGATAAAAAACAAAAACAACAAAAAATTAACATGAACTGGAAAATCTTTGCAGATTAAATTTAACAAGTACTTTTTCCCTCATGCATTGACCTCCACATTAACATAACTAGGAAATCTAATTGAGATGAATAATTATTCTACTTGCCTCAAGGATAAAAAGAAAAGGAGTGCTCGCTTCGGCAGCACATATACTAAAATTGGAAGGATAAAAAGAAAAGGAAAATTATCAGCCTCTTTATTGGAATGCAATAGAATGTTGCTAGTTTCGCAGCTCTCACCATAAGGTGAGTGGATCTTCACACGTTTTCTTCTTGTCCTTTACAAACTGCTTGATTACTAATTGATCTCGTACTATTTTCCAGTTCTGTTGCTTCTGAAGAAAAATACCTCCAGGAAAAACATGACTTTTCTTCCCCTCTCACATATCCTGCTGGTGATAAGATGAAGTAGTTCCTCAAGTTTCGGTTTCCTCCTGTACGTTTTGCATGCTTGTTCTCAGCTACTGAGACTTAAAATCAATTCTAAATCATTCTGTGTGGCCCTATGAGCTCATGCAGGCTGAATGCTGAGTATTTAGAGGCTGTAATAATTGATGGGTCTTCCAGTTCTCCTTGAAGATACACTGCCTATCTTCCTCCACAAGTGATCATGTGTTACCTTACTTAGTTATGTATGTCCTGACAACTGACAAGCAATGATATGCTTAGTGGAACTTTAAACAGAGCATGGAAGCTTCTGAAAACACAGTTTATCACTGACAGTGGCAGTGCTTAAAAGTCCTAAGTATCTTTCATACTAGTGGAGGTGAGGGTCCCTGACTGAAACTCAGGGTCACCGTGTTCCCATCCTTGCTTGCCTCCAACCAGCACTATACCCATGGACAATGCACTGAGAGTACCCATGTTTTCATCTCTTCACCTATTAAAGATTCTTTTTTTTTTTTAAATCTATAAGAGATTCTCAAAAGTCTCAATCAGACATGATAGGATGATTTGGACTACATCAGTGTATGTTTAAGAAGTTAAGGAAATCAATACAAGTTCAATGCTCACAAAAATATTTACAAGCTGCCAAAAAAAAAAAAAGACCACTCATTTTAAATCAGCTGGTGCATTACAGTATTATGTCTTTTCTTTTGCATCTCCAATTTTCTTGTTCTTTAATTTTAAACATGTTTTCAGAGTTGGAGCAGGATGGCCAAGCAGGCTGCAGCAGTTTCAAAAAAGACACAGTGTTTTAAAATGTAACATAATTACCTGTAGGCCCTTTTGTGATATGTTAAATATATTATGTATATATATATTTTGTATATGTATATGTATATACATATACATATGTATATATGTATATGTGTATATATATATTATGTATATATATATTTTGTGATATGTTAAATATATTAGGGACATTTAACAAGGAATAACTATTTTAACTTCCTTCATTATTTTAGATTAATTCCGTATTATTCTCCAGCAGTAACACACGTGATCATTTTCAAAGCAGAATTAAAGTTTTAAAACAACAAAGCAAGACAAATGTATTAAAATAGAACTGCATTCATACAGAACTTAGTTTGTAATTGTCTAATCTTTATTATTACTATTTTAACCCACTGAGCCACCCAGGTGCCCCAGTGCTATTTTAAAGGAAATCTTAGCCCTCTCTTCTAGAAAACCAAAAATAGTAGGTTCACTAGTAGAGTTTTATGTAGTATTGTTTGAACTTATTATAATGAACCCTTTTCTCAAATAGTGTGTGTGTGTGTGTGTGTGTGTAGTCCCAAAGAGCTGTAGACATTTCAGGGTTCATATAAATTAGGAGATTTGGATTATATTCTTAGTTACTTGATAAGATTTCCAAACATAAGAATTCTCAATGGCCTTCCTTAATAGAAATATCAGTGTTCACTGAAGAGAGAATAAGGGGCATTCCTTGGGTTCATTTTTTAATATTGAATCAGGCAGGGAGAAACATAAAGAAAATGGCTGAAATTTTCAAACTGCTTGTTTTACTTTCCAGAATTTCACACTTGAGACAGCCTGTGCTTTGAATCTTGAAATATGAAAAAAATGAATTATTTCCTCCCCCAAAGACCATTATTTCCATGTCTTTGCTTTCTTTTTTCTTTTTCCAATTTATAAGTGATTTAGATTACTAAGATTGGAATCCAATATGCAGACCAGTTACTACCTTAACTCAACACATGCCACTGGTTGAAGTCATTCATTTTATATAACTTCAGGAGTCACACTTTGTCTCATCCTTCTTGAATATTATAAAAAAATAAAATAAATCAAAATACTTGTTGAACCTACATGGTATTTAGAAAAAAGCCCCAGGGTTCCTTAACCACAATCAGTGGTTAAGCGTCTGCCTTCAGCTCAGGTCATGATCCCAGGGTCCTAGATAGAGCCCAGCATAGGGCTCCCTGCTCACCAGAGAGTCTACTACTCCTCTCCTTTCTGCCCATCTCCCCAAACTCGCTGGTGCATCAGCACTCACGCACTATGTCTCAAATAAATGACATCTTTTAAAAAAAGAAAAAGAAAAAAATTCCAATGTATCTGCAATCAGAACCCAACACTGAATTAATTAACTTTTCTTTTTTTTAAAAAAGACAACAAATCAAGTTGGTTTTCCAGGTTTTTTTTTTTTTTTTGAAATGCAGTATTCTAAAATGAATAGAAATATTGTTTGAATTATCTAGTTAGAATGTTAAGATCATAATATAATAAAAATATTTCAGAATAACAAAGAAAAGAAAACCCTGACAGTGATCAGAACACAGGGTGAGCAAGAACATATACTTTGTATCTCCCATAGAGTCTTGATTCTTCTCTGCACTGAGAAAGTTTGTTATATGAATTAAATCATCCCATGCTATTTCATTATGCATGTTAATACACATCCAAAGGTGAGGAATAAAGGGGGGAGGTGAGTAAAATCTCATTTTCCTGGAGAATTATCTTTCAATCACTTCATGCAAAAAAGACAAATAAAACACTAGCTGAAAGTTTTTACAAATGTGACATATGAAGTTTTTCTTCCCTATTCTATAACTCTGTATCTTCAGTTCAGAATTCCTCTGCTTTAATTCTGGTTTGCATATTGAATGTCAATGTAAGAAGGTTTTTAGATAAAGGACTGATTCCTTTATCTAAAAGGCTTAAAGTACTTTGAGACATTATCATATTATTGCAAAAGTCCAGGAACATGGGAGAGGAAAAGGATATGTGGACAGAGGTTAGTAAAAGATGTTTCCATTTTAAGTCATCTAAGCACACCTTTTGAACTGCTCATTCACATCAGAGAGTTTGTTCAGTTTCTGCCTCCTGAAAGTGTGATTTCTCTCCAGTTAAACAACACACAGTAAACCTGCTTGTGTACATTGGTTACCCTGGGGAGGCACTCTCCCATGTGAGCAAAATATATTGCTATGAATCTAAGGTGAAATATTGAGATAATTATGCTCCTCTGCTTTTAGAATCTAAGTTTATTCAAATACTCTGTATGGCTCTTCGCTTCAGTGGTATAGTCACACTCTCGGGGATCACAAACAGAAAGTGTACATTATAAGCATTTTTTTCAAAAATGTGATTAATTTTGAAACATGTACATTTATTTTTGCCAGCAAATTTTGACTCAGCTAGTTCTTGGCATTTACCTCCAGGATTTTGGCAGATAATATTATTTTCTATCAAAAGAAGAAAAATTTCCATTTTCTGGCCATGCGTATTTTGAAAATTAAAGACTTAATTGTTTACCATCTAATGTAAAGGCTCATTTTCCCTATTAGGATTTCCATCGAATAGGGTCAGTGATGGACACTGACTACTATTTAAATCTATGGTAATACCATAGAGGTTTTAGGAAAGCCCACATAGAATCTGGCTTCTTACATGTTTTCATTTTTCTAACTTTTTTTTTTTGGTCTGGCTTTTTTCTAATTTGTCATGATGCATATATTTGTGCTGTAATACTGTCTTATATTAAAAAAAAATGGAGGGGCACCTGGGTGGCTCAGTGGGTTAAAGCCTCTGCCTTCAGCTCAGGTCCCAGGGTCCTGGGATCAAGCCCCACATCGGGCTCTCTGCTAGGCGGGGAGCCTGCTTCCCTTCCTCTCTCTGCCTCTCTCTGCCTACTTGTGATCTCTCTCTCTCTCTCTGTCAAATAAATAAATAAATAAATAAAATCTTTAAAAAAAAATGGAAAGGATTTAAAGCCATGCTTTTAACTTAACAATTGTCCTAATTGACCTGAATATAGAAATGTATCCAGTGACGTTCTGCAGAATAGATTTTGACTTAATCAAAAGAGGCAGTTATTTTTTTGCTCACAAAGTTTAAGTCCCAAATTAGGTGGTTTGGGTTATATGTGGTGGTTCCATGGTGTCCCTGGATATTCAATCCCTTTCCA